TCCATTTCATAACACATGTAATTCACAGAAATAACCCTCTTCTCTCTACATCTTCAGCTACAGGTCCTGGGTAATTTTTTTTCAAAATTAATTGAAGTCCTTGCACCCTGTCTTAAAATTATACATGTATATATTCACACAATTCTAACTCGATACTACCAAACATAGACATGTCGATATCAACATTGCTCTTTTCGAAAATAACATATTTCCATATTCGCAAACCTTACCTTCACGTTCTATACCAAACTTGTAAGTGATGAATAAAAAGCCACAATAATATATTTACAATATCGACCGTGTACAATTCCTAAATAACTTCTAACCTGTTCTTTCCCGCTTATGTGATGTTTGAATAAAACTATTGGGATTTGGGTATTGATTCGGTCATTGCAGATCCAATTAACATCCCTAACAAAATTAATATTATGGCACACATATCAAATATCGAATATTAAATATCAACGAACGTGTGTGGGCGCGTGTGCGTGTGACTTTCCTTCTGCCAAAAGCATATATTATGCTATGCATCTCATTTGATACATTCAATTCATTCTCTCTCTTTAATCCAAACATATCACACAATGTAGGCATCACTTTGGCGCAAGTCGATTGTTGCACTCTCGCAAACAATGCCTCCTGTTCATCCAAGCGTGAACACATACCACACAAAATTGATACCAAATGATTTGGGAGAAAACGCGCTTTTATAAGATGTGTATTAATTTACTGTTCATAGATTTTTTTAAAATAATTAACAATTTTCTAGGCGTAAACTTTTTTTTTGACTCACACGGTATATATATATCAGGGGGAAATGAATAGTGTATTAACTTCTTTTCTGAGCAGAAGGTGTGGGAGGGGGGTATACAGAAAGTTTGATGTATGTATGAACTGTTAATCTGTTTTACTAAGTGTATATATGATAATTATATAATTTAGCGTAATAACAGAGTACACGCATATTATCTTGCACGTGTGTGTGTATTGCGTTTTTTTAACGATTTTTTTTCTTCTTCATCAGTTAGGAAATTTATATTATCCTTGGTGCCTTCCGTTTGTTTAATGAGCTTATCTATGTAAAATTTACAAGGGGGATAGGGTGGGTTGGGGATCGGGGTGGCCTTTTTAGTAGCGTTAATTATACTGAAATCATGTAAATAAATTCGAAAGTGCAAGTTAAGAAAACAAACATATTTAAAAAGTGGTATATGTTATTTCATATATACATACTTTTATTCATAATGAAATATACAGGAAATGAGTAACTAATAAAGATCACATTCGTAGAGATAAAAAAATATTTTTCTGTTCCACCCTTTCTGTTAATATTAATCCTCTACCAGGCCAATTTTCTTCATTATGTTCTTGATATGGACAAAATTCAATGTCTACAGTAAGAACAATTGTACCCCCACAATTACGCTCATCATCTTTCTACTTTTCAACGTGAGTTAAATATACTACTGCTGGTCTGCTGTCATATAAATTACTATAAATCTGAATCCGTTGATGTACGGCCAATTCCCATTTTCTACTTTCTGTATTATTATTGTTTTGTATTCTGTGTATAAATGTTTGTGTGTGCCTTGTACTTTATTTCAGCCAGGCTTTGATGCTTTTCAATATATGAATTCCGAATATGCTTATCATGTGATATTTAAAATGAGTGTAGTATGCAAAGTAATGTTATCAATTTTCATACTCTGATTGCAATTGTGAAAAGAAAGTTATTGCAAATTGTAAGTATCAAAGAATTAGCCGTGTTTAAACTAAGGGTGATCTCTATATAGTTATCACAATGGGACTCATTGTAAAGAGAAGATATCAAATGTAATGCTGTCAATTTATAAAGAAAACATTGCTTTGAATCAAACTCGAAGGATGTGGTCACAAACAGTTCTCGGATATTTTTGTAAAGTTCTTGCAGTCATCCGATACATATGCCCTGCTTCAATTCATTTGGTATGAAAAAGGGGCTCGAAGAAATTGGAGAGGCGACTTTTCCCCCTAGCGCCCCTTCTATAACTGCTACTGCATATACCCTCCATTACAGTAAAGCATTTCAAGGATTTCTTTTCGGAATCATTTCTCTATTCAGGTCTACTGTCTGGTGTAGCCAAAAATTGCGTTTGATCGAAACACCTTCTTGCTAATTCCTTACACAGTAATGATTATGAACATCAATATCATGAAATGTTAGTTTGCATAATCAGCTCTCAAACCAAAGATTGAATTGATGGAACGGAAAAGAGCAACATAACGCATGTAAATTAAATGCAAGCAACTCTTATGCACAATATATACAGTAACAACTGAATTATTCATACCCCTTGTATATTTTATATTTTTTGTGTGTTTTTCGTGATTAAAGAATGAAATGTGAGTGGGCTCAATACCTATGTTGAATACTTTTAGATGTAAGGATTCATAATTATGTCATAAGCTCGAAAGATCAGGGAAAATAGATATTTCAAATACAAGTACTTACAAAATTACTACAACTTTGTAATTGTATGGTAATTTAGTTGTTAACTGTACATACCTTGGAAAATAATGTAATCAAGAAAGATGAATGCAGTTGTGAATTAATTATGTAGAATGGTGTGAGGAATATAAATGTGCGAATCACATAATACAGTCAAACCCAGGCGCGCACGCAGGATTTTTTTCGAGGGGGGGGGGGGGGGGGGTTAAAATTTGAAAATCACGCCGAAAATTTCGCAACGACTCAGCCAGCCGCTGAATAAGCGGGGGGGGGGGGGGGAGAGGACCCCTTTTTTTTTGGGGGGGGGGGTCTCAAAAATTTCGCAACGACTCAATCAGCCGCTGAATAAGCGGGGGGGGGGGGGTGTAAGAGGACACTTTTTTTTTTTGGGGGGGGGGGGGTCCCAACAATTTCGCAACGACTCGGGGGGGGGAAGGACACATTTTTTTTAAATTTGGCCGTTAGGGTGGTGGGTAAGGTCAGCTTTTTTGGTTCGACCCATTACCATTTTTTTTTTTTTTTTTTTATTATTATTTTTTTTAAACTAAAGGCTTTCCTCCAAAACATAAACATAAAAACAAATTAAAGGTGGGGGTTCATCCCCCCCCCCCCCCCCCCTGCGTACGCGCCTGGTCAAACCTGTATAAAGTCACCCAAAGGAAACGTAGAAAGTGGCCACTGTAGACGGGGAGTCTTTCTTGGCAGGTAACGCTACACACAATCATTTATCGAGGGGGACAAAATACGTGACCTCTAAAATATATGGGCAGTTGGCCTTCATAGATAGGTGACTACTATTAACAAGTTTGACAGTAAACGTGAATTTGTTGATAATTGTATAATGGTGTCAAATTATAACACAGCTTTTCAATATTCGTAATCAGATTGCGTTGTTGCATGAGTTTATTTTCATGATTGAATTATATCCTTGTGTAGCAAGATAGAGATACCAGGTGATAGCAAAAGACAGACAGATGTCAGGACGATCGCCCCCCCCCCCTCCACACAGGCACACACACACACACACACGCGCGCACACACGCACACACACACACACACACGCACACACATACACCAGCCTGAGGGCCCTTCTTACTTTTACTGGCTCGGTTTTTGCCTTGTTTTATTTCGTTTCTAGTAAGACCCGTCGCTGCAACCCCCCCCCCCCCCTACCGCTCGTTTTCAATTTGGCTATACAAGCGATGACAGTGTTAATGGCTCAGGACATGATGGTAGATTAATCAAAGAAGACATAGTGTACAATGATGTATCATAGTCATGGATATAGTTGAAAGTAATGTTTAAAAAATAATATTCATGTTGTATTGATCAAAAGTAAAGAAGACGTGCTCACAAGCCCTTCCAAAAAATTGCTCCAGTTTCTTCGAGGAATTGGCTGTTCCTAAAGCGTTTTCCCCCCGGATTGTCAAAATGGAGAACTTAAGGGGCAAAATGTTTGAAATAAGCGTCAAGCGACATCTTCACCACTTTGTAAATGCCTTGTGGTTATTATTATACATGTACAATACAATAGTACCATTATATGATCATGGAATATATGTTTTGGCCTTTTGGGGGATTACATGATGATTGCTTTGGTCGACTGTCATGATTGATGCACCAAAAAACAGTTTCACGTTCAGGGGCAGCGATCTCGGGGGGACGAACGGGGGGGGGGGGGGGCACCCCCCTCAATATTTGTAAGGTACTTGGTAAAAGTGCGAACAAAACATGTATAGCAAATACTGACTAAAGACTGCTACACGCATTTAGGCTCTTGAGGGCCCAAGAGTGCAGCATTAAGACTAATGCAAATGCAAAAGTCGTTTAGCTCGGTCGCTAGGCTCCTTCGCATAATATCCTTCAAAATGTACAAGTAAATATTGTTTAAAATTTCGCATTTTGTCCCTTCCCCCCCCCCCCACATTGTTCACATTAATTTCCTTGACTATCCTGAATGTGGGTCACGTGAACGGCCTACGTACAGTATGTCACGTCTTAGTCTTGATGGTGTGAGAAACGGCTAAGACATAAGAGAAGAGCAGAAAGGGTATAGAGAGAACTAGAGAGAGGGGGGAGGAAAAGAAAGACAAGAAGAGAGAGTAAGAGAAAGAAAGGGGTAGAAAAGACAGTGAGAAAGTGGGAGAAAGGGGGAGAAGAAAGAAAGATAGAGAGAGAGAGAGAGAGAGAGAGAGAGAGAGAGAGAGAGAGAATGCGAAAGAGAGAGAAGAAAACAAGAGATAGAACAATAGTCTACCGATCTTTTTAATTTGAGAGGCCTCTCTTTCGGTTTTTTTCCTTCTCAGTCATAAAGCAAAACAAAACAAAGCAAAAATACAGCGCCAACTGTAGGCCAGCATAGAGACAACCCTTCACATACAGTATGTAGTGTACGTGTGTGTCGGCTGCTTGGGCGACCATGGTAACGCTCTATTGTTAGCAGGTGTGTACTAGCGCTGCATGCATGCACAATACACAATCGATCGGGTTAGGTTTTTTTATACACAAAGTCATACTGAATAGAAACGTAAAAAGGAAACACAATTTGATGTCATTTCAAGTCGGACAGAATACAACAAAACAGGAATATCATACTTCATGGGCGAAATATAAATCAAGAAAATAAAAAGGAAGACAAGCAACATGACGGAGGTACTCTCAGAACTCGTTTCAGACGCTAAACGACATAAGTTTTCAACGATTCCCAAACTTTCTGACGATGGTAAGTTACTCGCGATGTTTCGCCGCTAAGTTCGGGCTGGGCAAGTGTGAGAGAATGCATGTGTTGTTGGTTGGTGCATGGTGCCTCGCCTCGTCTCATTTCTTGGTTCATTTGGCAAGCCATATCAGGTAAAAGAGAAAGAGTCTAGGCCTAGTCTTTTAATAGTCTTTTACTTGAAGACTTAAAATCACTTGTTTTTTAGATCTATCATCTAGCTTTAATATTTGTTTGTTGTTAATGTTAGTGAACATGATTGGACAGGGTTGTAAAAAAATATATTCTGACTCTGAGTGTCTTTTTATCGAAATGTGTGACTGGACATGAATGGGGACAGAATGAAAATTGAGAAGCTAGTTTGGGGAGGGGGCTTGTTGTTGTTGGTGTTAATGGCGTTTTCCATCATCATAAAATGTTGATACTTAAGACCTGTACTTAACTTTGCTTCCAAAAGTTTAAAGGCAATGAATGAGACTAGATCTAGGCCTAATTTAAATTCAATGTAGGGTCTATTCGGATGGTGATGTTCAAGTAATTAGGTCGGTCCGCAGACGGAAATAATCATGGGATTGATACACGTCTGTAAAAACCCAATTACATGCACACACACAGTAAACTTAAACACGTTGAGTCTGGAACTTGGTCCTCGAAGTCCAACTTTCCAAGATACAAACTTGATGGGAATTATGACTCAACAAATATAATACTACTACTAGGATCCACATTGCTTTGTATTGTAATGCTAGATCATATTACATGTAGGTCTATCATTATCGTTAGAGATCTGTAATAATTAATATTCTAACAAGTTAGATTTACTTTTTGTCTTTAGATCTAGATCTGACTGTTATGGTCTATATATTTGTACTTTGTATACTGTACCGGTACTTATTTGTTATCGTGTATTAAATTGTTATGTTTCTCAAGTACTGTAGACAAGATCTAATGTAAGTTTGTAACTCAATGTTTTGAATTATGTCTTTCTTGTAGATATTGTCAGTGTTTGGGAAAATGTTGCCAACTTTGTGGAACGTCACATGGCCCTACAAAAGGTGAGTTGTTATTCTCAATTTCCTTGCAGAATTCCTTAGTTCATTTTTGTTTTGGACATTTCTTTAAAGTTTTAACATTGATTTTCTTCATTAAACAAACTGTGAATACATACATGTACAAATGTAGAATGCATCATATTTCTCCCAACAAATAGTCAAGATGTGGAGATCGGATTACAATTATGAGACATCAATTATTCTTAGAATTTTACATTTTCACACTAAGATGTGAACAGAGAGAGGTTTTAATTAAGAGTTATGTTCATTTTGTTTTCCTTCTAAAATTAGGAGCGATTATATTTCATCCTCCTACATGTATAAACATGTGGAATAATTTTGTGATTTTTTTTGTCTGTAATAATGTAGATTGTCATCTTCTTTTTTTTTCTTTCTTTCTTTTACAGGGTGTACAAATCCATGGTCTGGGAACATTCACTTTTACCCAGAAGAAGATCGACATTGGAAATAATAAATTTATTCTCATCCAGAGACCTGTCTTTGTACTCTCAGAGAAGTTTGCCCAGACCCATAGACTCAGCTACACTAAACATTTCACTTCAGGTATATATATAATAGTTATAATATACAGTGTATACTCAAATTCTGTGCTATTCATATAGTGAGACCTGTATAAGAACTGCTCAAGGGAGACAAGAAAAGCAGTTTTTAAGTACAAGTTTCTTTAATACATGTCTCATTGGGAAACACTTTTAAAGGCGGAAAAAAATGATCTCTATAGAATGGAGATTGCTAAAGCAATTTTTTATTTATTTGTTTTTAGACTTTAGAACTATTAATGTCATGTTACTTGTGATTCACAATTTATAGAAAAGGATATGTACCGATTAAGGCAAATACAGTTAAACAAGAATTATCTAAATATCAGGAGAGTGTTGATACTTTAGGATACACTAATAGAGGAGCAGGAGAAAAGATATAATGAAACGATATTGATAAAAATAACATAAATACATGTAATGTTAATAAAGAAGAAAGACTAAGAGGAAGAGATGGAGAGGATATAGTGATAATTACAAAAAAATGTCTAGAGTTCAGATATTTTTATCTAAAACACAAGTCACAATTTATGTCTGCAGAATTGATACATAAGGAATCTATTTTGTTGAATTTATGGAAGTAACTGAATTCAAATCCAAATTCTAAATTGTTATTAATCCTCTTTCTTAGGTCAAGTTCCTATCGTTCAACTCAACTTTGCCGTACTTTCCAACGAGAGCCCCTTTGACCGAGACTCCGTGGAGGGATGCGTCCGCGAGGTCCTCCAGGCGCTCTCTCGTGCTGTCCAGTCCAAACGCAATGTGGAATTCTCTTTTACCGGCATTGGACGTCTCACTATCCGTGATAGCAAGGTCAAGATGAAGTTTTACAAGGACTTTCTGACCATGATGGATGGATCTGGGCATCTAGTTGAAGCTCTTAAAAATGTGAGTAATAACAATTTTCTTTAAGCTTCTCATTCACGATTAAAATATTTTAAAGTATGTATTTTATTTTTCATCTTTTTATTTTAATAAAAAATAGATACATTAAAAGATTTTAGTGTATCTATTTTTGTTTTTTTGTATTATTTTTGTAATATTAATCCCAACTTAAAAATAAAGATATGCAGGAGTTAGAACCAGTTTTACAGAGATGTGGAGAGAAAAAAAATGGGCTGAGCTCTGTCCATGTATTTAATAGTCTCTTGCATACTTTTTGAGAAATATCATTATAATACCGGTAGGTATTAAGAGGGAAGGAAATATAAAAGGCTCTTTGAAAATATGCAGCATGCCCTATTCAAGTCACATTCAGTTAATGTAGCACTTCCCTTTTATCGTTCAAAAGATTTACACTGACAAATATCAGCTTTTACATTTCATAGAAAAAAAAATCAAATGTTGAATTAAAAAATACCGGTAATGCAATTACCAATGTACATGTACACAGCAATAAGCATCAAGTAACTATGGAGATGTTGTTCTGAGCACTCGTCACTACAACAAACCTATCGTTGCTACAATTATACATGGTCTATTGCTCTCACGCATTAGATACTCATTCTAAATTCAGAACCATCAAGCATCATCCTTATTAGCAAGTCCATTGTCAAAATATAATTGAAATATTGAAGGTCACTTTTCTCTCTTGTATCGATGGTTGTCATGGAGCAATAGTGGGTGATCAATAAAAGTATTGTAATTAACTAATTGAATTGGTTGCCATTGCAACCTTGAGGCTAAAGCACAATAGCAGGATGACATTGAGTTCTTTAATTGTAACATATTAATTTTAGGAGAGTTCTTGTATCATTATGATGTTACTAGGCAATAATATCGTAGTGTATCGTTGTATAACAAATGTTCTATAGGTCATGTGCAATTCCTCCAACAATCAGATAAAGTCCTTCAGAAATTATTCCCTTCACGTTTTGATAATTTGTGTAGTCATAGTGTTATCTAAACCAAATATTGTACATTTGCAGATCGCTTGTTTTTATTTTAAAAAATCGAATATTTTCTGTTTTCTGACATGTGTTTTAATGCTTTGAATTGAAGAGTTTTTTCCAATTAAAAAGAAAGTAAATTCATTTCTCTATTTTTCTCATATTTACAGCGCCCTGATACAGCAGACTCTGTACTATCCAGAGCCAGTGTTTTCAGACCAAGCACAAGTGGTACTCTTGTCCTACCAAGGTATGTTCAATGAGCTACATGTAGCTTATCAAGAAATCAACGATTCATAGATTACTTGGTTGGCTGAAATGATGTGTGTTTTCAATCATTTATATAAGATGCAATGTATTGACTTTCCATTAAAGTTCTATACATGTGTACATCCAGATAGCACAGGAGTAATTACAGAGCTACATGTACATACACATGTACAGTACATGTATGTACTTGTACATAAAGCTTAGAGCCTTTTAGGGGTTAATTGTCATTCCTCTTTTCCACTTTACTTTTAACCAAAAGGAAAGGGGGATGTTCACAAAAAAAAACTTTACCAAGAAATATGAAATTCATAAACAAATGAAAAAGTAGAGTTATTGTGCAGTCAGGTCTTTGTATATTTTACAATTAACGTGGTTAAAAATAAAATAGGATATGTATGGAATGTATTAATGATTTTCCAGTCTAATCTGTCACTCTATCTCTCTTTCTCTCTCTCTTTCTCTCTCTCTTTCTCTCTTATCCTTCTCTATCATGGATGATTGTACATACAGTATTTGCATTCAATGACTTACTTGATTGACCATGTCTGTTTGTTTCCTGATTATAGAATCACACAAGGTGCCGGCAAGGATGGGTTCAGCTTTGAGAACGGGGAAGCAGAGAGACAGATGCCTGCCATCGAAGAGGCCAGAGAGTATGAAGAACAGGAGGAAGCCAGGCTGGAGTACGCCCCCAATCAGGAGGATGAGGGACTTGGGAAAGAAATAGAAGAGGGTAAGATTTATCAATTTCTAGTACATTGTTTCTCAGTCAAATTACAACCAGTATGCTGCAGTAATGGTGCATAATATTCATTCATGGGCTCATTGAAATGAGGTGTTAATCAACATTTGTGCCTTGGAATTGAATTGAGCCAAAATATTTTGGATTATGAAATATGACAAATAATGAATTGGAAGCAAAAGGATCTATTTCATTTACTGAAATAGGTAACAACCTAGTAATGCCTATTATGCCTTTAACATGTACATGTACACATAATTTTGAAAAATGTTAGTTATCAGCATTCACATTGTCCTCATTCAATTGGCCTGGGTCTCGATCAAATAGAATCGAAGTGGAACAGTTATTCTGACAAGGACCCTACTGTTAATAAACTAATTATTCACTTTCAATAGTTTTCCTGTCAAGTTTTGTATTCCTTCTCACTCTTTTTAATCCATGATGTTAATGTACTCAAATTTTACAAATAAAAGCAATCTATCAAAGTAGTATCAGAAATCATTAAAGCATACATTTTTGTATTCTTTCTATTTCTTCAGAAGCTCGCAAGAAACCGGCCACCCCGATGCGTCCTTCCTCGCGTCAAGTCATTCCCACGGCCAAGGCAACCAGCATCGGCTTTCTAGATGACCTCGCCCCATCCCCACGCCCTCAATCCAGGGGGTTAAAGGGCACCCCCTCACCCCCTCCAGGCAAACCCCCATCTCCCAAGGGCGAGCTCCCCCCACCACGCTTGGCAGCCGAGATCCGCGAATCCCTCGCCAACGAGGCAGAGGCCATGGAGAGGGCCGAGTCCGCCTCGTGTTCCCATGCCCATGAGAAGGCAGGCCAGGAACTGTGCTATCTGTGCCACCAGAGGGCAGTGCGCAATGTACCTGTATCATTCGAGAGTGAGCGTAGGAGGAAGGAGCAGGAGCAGGATCGATTGCTACAGCAGTTCCAGCACTTGAAAGACACAGAATCTATACTCAGGGATCAGGTGAGCTTCTTAATGGTTTACCTGATGATTTTTTTTTTTACTATACATGTATATATTTGAACTTATCAGAGTAACAAATTTTGCTTTCTATACAAAACAGAACAAATTACTTGCATCTTGAAGTCTTTACCCCTTGAATACTTTTCTTGCCCAATTAATATATACCTGCATAGCGGTCCAATTTCCTTTGATGAGCATTGGTTTTTAATAATGCTCCTAAAAGTTTATGAAATATCAAACTGAATTGAAAGAGGAAAAATAAATGAATTGAATTGAATTGAATTGTAATACAAATTCCATGTTGCAATATAAATAAGAACTTTATCATTGTCTAATAGATTAAAATAATCTAGCTTACAATATTCAGAAAAAATCTGAAGCGTTTTATCTATGTTTGATCAATACTGTATGACAGCAATAGTACAGTGTATTTAAAACCCCACAATTCAAGATTTCAGAAGTGCTATATTTTTTTAATGATTTTTGTTCCAGTTTCACAACTTGATCATTATGTTCTTATTCTGCAGGCTCAAAACATGTCGAACAAACATCACTCCCAGAAGATAGCAGCATTCAACCTTGGTGTGAGCGAGGCAATAAAGAACAAACAGAAAGAAAGATCGACTGAATTTAATGTAAGTTTCAAACATGTCCCTTAGTCCACATCGGTAGGACTTCTTGGGAGAACTGTGACCTGGAAATTTTGAGATTTTTAAGAGTACATTTAAACCTCTCTATTAAGGACACCTTTCTGTAGTGGTCACCTATGTCTCCCTCTAAGATGATATGTGTGTTGGAGAACCTGTCTAGAAAGGCAACCTGTTGACCTTCCTGTGTCCCTTGGGTGGCCTTTACGGACAGGTTTCACTGTAGTTAACATTTCTGAGTGTCCAATGCTGGAACAAGAACAAATTTATACACTTCTTTTTATTTCTTAGGATTTGTTGTGCGTGTGTTTTGTTTCTTTTAATCTACAAATGTTTCTTGTCATGAAAATGGCTTTTATTAATACTTTGCAAAAGTTTCATGTCATTAAGAAATAATTAGGCAACCTAGCATTATTCTAAATCTTTCTGCTTCCTCTCTAGCTGTTATTAAAACTTTTCCAAAGTTTGACACCAAAAAGAACATTTAACAATGGTCAAAAAGAACTTTTAACAATGAATCACATCATTCTTAATCCTCCTTCATCTTTCCTCTCCCTGTACCCTACAGAGATCCTACGTCTTCCAGAACCGCGCCCGTACCCCGCCCCGCTTCCTGAAGCAGGAGGAGTATGCCACCGATCTCGGGTCCCAGGTGGAGGCTAAGGCCGTCGATAAGATCAAGCGCAGGCAAGACACAGACTTCCTGGAGAGGCTAGAACAAGTTCAGCTTGCAGAAGAGTAAGTAAAAAGTTTCCATTACACTTCGGTCACACATATCGCCAAATCGCCTCAAAACCAATTCCAAACTGACCGATTGGTAGCCATTCTGTGTGATGAAAAATGCTGTTCAATATGTTGTTGGTCTGGGCAAGGAGCTATAGACATAACTCTTTAGTCTAGGTAGTGTTTCATGAAACCGTTACACATGTAAGTACAAGTTCACCGACATCACATTGAAGGTTGGAAGACCTGTATATGTGATTCAAACGGGTTTCAATGGGATGTCCGATGTCGGTGAACTTGCACTTCTGACTATTTTGTGAAACGATGCCCTGATGTCAGTCTTGTTGTCTTTTGGCCTATCAGAAATGGGGTTACATTTATTATTATGGTCCAATATGTTAGATGATGACCATTTGATCAGATTAACATTGTTATGTGCAGTACGTTACAACAATAGTTTGCGGTACACAAAAAGCTTAATTCTCCCTTACAACATTCAGCAATGTGATGTATTGTACATATTCCAAACCAGGAAAGTTTACCCCTGTTATTTCATAAGCCTAAACACCATTTTGTTATGCTTTAAAGTTTAAAATATTAACAATTCTATTTGAAGAGGCCCTTGTTATGATCCCAAAGTGCCTATAGCTTGAATAGCAAACTTGGATTTGAAAATTCACTATCCTTCTGTTAAGCAATTTCATGTGTTTTTTGTACAGGCTTTCAGCCCAACGAGAGAGGTATCTCAGAGATAAGCATCAACAGACCGATATGTACAGGAAGGCTCTTTCGGCTCAGGTATGTAATCAACATGAAACTCACACCCTCCCTCATCTCTATACTATACAATTGTGTTCTGTTTTTCTCTGGCAACTGATAATCGTCACGATTACTGCTATGTTTCTGTTTGATGTGCTATTGTTACATGTATTTAATCTGGTATATGTGTGTTCTAGCCTTAGTTCTAGTAGTAGACAATCTTGTTTGTTCTTTTTATTTTTATATAATTTTTTTTTTTTTTTTTTTTTTTGTATGTCACTCTCTGATTCTCATTCTTGGCTCGGTGTGCTGCCATTCGTTTTTTAGTTCTTCACGAGGTTATATTTTAATCTCATGTTTCATGTGTACCTTTTGTTTCTTTGTCTTCTTTTCTTTCACTTCCATTGCACCCTTCCCCAAACTAATCTACTCCCTGCACCCTTCATGATCCTTCTTTATTTGTCTCCATCTTTCTATATTTATTTGTCAACAAATCATTTTTCATTCACTAATTGCACCCCCCCCCCCCCCTCCTTCTCCATTTGACACCATGCTCACTAAAATGTTTTTTCTTTGGTCAAACATTTGCTTCTGATCTCTTTTGCCCTTTACCTTTTAACCAACTTACATCAAACCTCTCTGTTGAATTATGTATCTATATTTTATGTCAATAATCCACTCACGCACATGTATATGGGATGAAATACACCATACATGCAACCCTGAAATATGTTCTTCCCTTTAAAAACACTACATCACCAACAAACAATTCAACATTGAAAATTATGACAAAATCCATTAGATCAAGATCAAAAGAGCCTTAGAAATGTTAGAGGAGGCAAACTACACCCTCCATGTAGAAGAGATCCCTGAAGGATGTCTCAGCCCCAGTGAGGAGGTTTGTCGAGGATCTGGGGAAGGGGGTCCGTGTAAGAGAAGAGAGGAGGGCATTCCAGCCAGGACGTGCTGTAGTGCCGACCCACGCCTGCCCTTGGGGAAGATGATCAGCCCTCTGACACTGCCGGTAGCCAAGACAATCCGGCCGTTCTCTCAAATGGAACCCGGCCTACGTCTGAAGATGCCCAACCATCGCATGGTAGACTTATTCAGAGACACCCACACACATTATTTCTATGGTCTCCTACATATTGCCCTTAACTGCATGCTTCCCATATTCTGTTTTTTTTTCAATGCAACTATACTTAACTCTAACATTATCATGTGTGTTATTGTGCTGTTTAGTCCATGTATATGGAATCCATGCTTTCCAATGCAATATAAACCATATCCCCATATTCTGTATTTTCAATGCAACTAACTCCTGCACTTAACTCTAACATCATTATATGTGTTATTGTGCTGTTTAATCCATGTATATACATAACCTATAAATATGAAATTCATGCATTCCAATGCAATATCAACCATTCCATATTTCTTCCAAACAAAGCATTAATTGAGTGATATTATTTGCAAAATACAGGATCTCTATAGTAATTCATGATTTACTGGTAATTGTAAAAATTTTGGTACAGTGTAATATTTCAACAGAAGTGTTGTTTAACAGATAAAGTAGAATTGTTCTTGTTAGTTTGACAACATTCTTAAAAAGACCCTGCACATGAAGCTCAATTGGGATTCATCTTTTTATTTTCTCTCAACATGCAAGTTCAGTCTATCCATTACTAACTTTATTTTTTTCTTTTTTTCTCCAGGTGCGTTTCAAGCCCCTCCCGTTGCCAGGTGCAGTAGCAGACTCCAAGGAGCCCATCTTTGGCAAGTTTGACGCCACCAACGAGCAGCTGGCCGAGCGGAGGCGACGAGCCATCGAGGTCTTCCAGGATCAGATCTCAACGGTGGAGAACAGGCGCAAGAACAACCTGACCAACCACGTCAAGACCCAGAACGACGAGACGGACATGTTGGAGAAGACACGTAGAGAGTGAGTAGCTCTTCTCTGTCATGGAATTATTTGGGATTGGGTGTTTTCTTGAGCCATGATTGTATTTTTTTATGAGTCCCTTCATTTGGCTATTCAGCTCACTTGTGATGCTTTAGATATTGTAATATCACTAACAAAGCCTCGTAGCCTACGTACTGTATACTAACAACGTGCTGTTGATTATTAGTTTGAGATCATCCCATATTGGCCACCAGATGATGCCATTGAACCCAATTTATATCAGATTTTGTACCATCTGGGCATCGATCTCCTTTTCTATTAGGAAGCATTGCAAAATAAAATAAGACTCAATTTTCACACATTTTTAAGATTCCCCAGCAAGATTTATATCAGGTTTTTTATTCAAAGGGTTAAAAGAATCTCTTGGCACATACTATTGTTGTCTTTGAAAAAAAAGACATGGACACTGTAACAACATTCTGTTTATGTGATCTAATTGAGACTATAATGTTTATAATGCAAGAGGGCGCCAGAGACCCTCCTGTTATGTTATTATTCTGGACTCCCTCATTCTAACAAACAACTAAAATATCACAGACACCTCAATAATATGTCCTATTGTCTGCTTCCCTCTAGGTTGATTGCTGACCGTGCTGCTCGCTTTGAGCAGGCTTTCCAGACGAGGAAATCCCTGGAGGAGACATGGAAGGAGGCCGATGCGCTCAAGAAGAGCCGCGAGGAGGAGCAGGTGCTCAAACTCCAGAGTTCCGGCATTCTCCTGCACGAACAGTGCGATCAGTATCACCGATGTGAGCAGTGCCTGCGAGTCCTCAAGAACTGCGGCGAATCAAACATCTGGAGCGAATCTAGATACATCCCAGGCTCTCGTCTAATTATGTAATCATTTATTCATTCCGTCATGAAAAATTTAGAGATTATACATCCCATCCATTGCTGTGAATTGATACTCATTCAAAAAAAGAAAACAAAGCACATCTTATTGATTTGATTGTTTTTTAAGCACACACACACACAAAATAATTATATAAAAATGTTATTGGTGGTTTGAAAATTGGGAAATAATTTGAAGATTAAAAGGAAAAAAAGAGTGATGATGGAGGTAAAGTTTTGGTCACAGATTTTTAAGATAGCAGTGAAGGTGGATGGAGCACATTTAGAATCATGAACAGTATAAACTGCCTTTACATTTGATGTGATATTTCATTACAAAATAGATAATTTTTCATATGTTTCAAATTGGACATAGTATATTGAAATAGCTGTGCTAAAATAGATTTAGATTGATTGATTAAATTATATGATTGTACTATTGGGACTCTGTCATCCTTTTTGTAGCTATAGCTATAGATGTACATCTATGCAAGTAATTATGAAGTAGAGTTAAACTTGATTAAGATTTACATTTTAAATGCCCTGTACCTTTTTACAATATTCTCCAAGGAAGCTTGAAATTTAGATATTATTAAACATTGAAAACAGTGAAAAGTGAAAATTGCCTGATTAGATTTTTGCCTGATGCCTGGAAATAGATGACACCTCTATGCAAAGAACTCCTTCCAAGCATCTTTAAAAAAAAAAAAATGTTTAACTATGCACATGTCAGATGGAAAGCTGTGTTTTTCCAGGAACAAATGAACAAAATGCAAGTGCCATGGACAAAAAAATTCAATTCATTTTGCCTTAAAATCATGTGTGGACAGAATATAGAACTAAGACATATTTTTGTGATTCAAAGTTATGCGCAAAGGAATGAATTGCTGGTTCTTTTGGAATTAGTTGTGTCTGTTCGGAAATATTTTTATATGTAATTTTGATCTAGGAAAATTAGAGTTGTGTTATAACATATAATATGCTATCAGTGTGTGGTAAATTGAATTCTTATTCAAGGAAATATTTCTTTCATCATATTTGTCGCTATTAGAAGAGGCTTCTGTTATGTGGTCAGTATAGTATAAGAACATCTATTTCTAGGGATATCTAGTATTTTCATATAATAATCTGTGATGTCATGCAGAGAAGGCTTCTTGCATGTTTCATTAGTAAACACATTTTGTTGGGGTGATCATGATTACAATCACTTGATGTGAAGGTTCAGTATCTTGTGTTAGAGAACTATCTACTTATGCTGTACGGTAATGTAATTTTTCAATAATTCACCAGGCAAATTATCCTCTAATTGAAGAAAAAAAAAATTACAGTTTGTGTGAGCTTTATCTACTACTGTAGTACGATATTTACAATATTAATATCACAGTTTGCAATATAAGGTACTCGGTCGTACACACATTGATCAGGATATGTATGCTGATTTGTCATACAGTATATGCCAGCAACTGTATCATTGCACGTATGGTTGAGTTATTGGATGCTGTCATATCGGCTGTTGAGTGGCAGAAAGGGATTAACCATACTTCTTGTAAAAGTGTGTGTGTTAGTGCCGTTCTGGCTCTCGAACAGCAGACGATTAGCATTTATCTCTTATTCAGGACTAGTAATGGAGTTTGTTTTCTATGCTGAAAATTATTACTGTGCATATCGACTTTATTGTCATTACTACCATTGCTTATGGGGCATGGCCTATGCCTGAGAGGGCAGAAGGGGCCTTATAGTGCAGTGACCCTCGATCGGGTCTATCATCTAGGTATCAGGGCTTCAGCACCTTATCGGGTCAGCTCTGCTCGACCCTGGGTAATAATCCTAGTTCCTTGTATTTTCGAGCACAAAGAGACATCGCTCAACATTTGATTAGCCCAAGAACAACATGTTATTATTATTTTAATTTATTTGTGGGTTTGGGATGAAAGGTTATTTGGTCTTTCCTACGTTCTGAATTTCTCATTTAGGAGTGAAACATGCAGTACACATGTCTACTCCTCCCCAGCGAAAAAAATTGTCAATTTTTATGCATGGTAGTGAATTATTGATGCCCCTGAAGATAAACCCTTATACAATGCACAATTTGGAAATATGCCAAGACAGTATACCCCACATCCACTTGTAACATATTGTTTGTTGGAGTGATATAAATAAACTTCTCTGAGAACCAAAAGGGCATTACATACAAACGTAGTACATAGCATTTATGTCCTTTTAGCATTACAGTAACCCCTTGGTAGATCTAGGTACGGTATATTTATTGGAGTTTGGTAATGTACATATCATGTATTATGCATTCAGAATATGAATGGCCAGGATACATCAAACTTGGCTTATATAATATATATTACCTGACCTAGTGCCAGGACGAGTATACATGTAGATTTGTAAAAATAAAAGCATGAGTAAAATTCCAGCTGGATGTATTTGAAAAAAGATAAGATATAGCTGCATTTTGAAATAGCATTATGTCCGTCCACTTGAATGAAATTGAAAGTGTTTAAAGAGTAGATATTAGCATGCATTTGAATTTAGATGATTTTCGTTCTATTTTTGCACTTTTTTATTCAACAACTCACTACTACACGTGTGCGGAAACAGTTGATAGACTGTTCTATTTTTCTTACATTCCAATTTTATTCCTTATTGTGTTTTTACCAGTACCACAAAAAGTTTATACTTTGATCAAAACTTTAAAACAAATTTTTGAGCAAATTGAACAAATTGATATACATATATATGTTTTCAAAAGGGTAAATTGAAACAATTTTTGTATCATCTTTTTTCCTCAAGTCGTATGTAATCGATAATCAAGCTTTAAACACAAAAGAACAAAAAATCAGTGCAAATATGTTTATTTCTATGTATTATACTATTTCTGTACTTATATGTGAATGTCGTGTAAATTTATGTCAATATTAAATGCCTATGGACTTCTGTCACTATAAATGCTTGCTATGATTGTGGTTGAAATTTTGTCTACTTGGGGCTCTTGAGAGGGTGGGGTACATTGTGGTGATGGAGACAGGGAGAGAGAGATGGGAGAGAAGGAAGGGGTAGGTGAAGAGAGAGAGATACAGATGGATAGGGGAAGAGAGAGAGAGAGATACAGATGGATAGGGGAAGAGAGAGAGAGAGATACAGATGGATAGGGGAAGAGAGAGAGAGAGAGATATATATAGATGGATAGGGGAAGAGAGAGAGAGAGAGATACAGGTGGATAGGGGAAGAGAGAGAGAGAGAGAGATACAGATGGATAGGGACAAAGAAAGGGAGAGAGATGGGAGAGAAGGAAGGGGTAGGTGAAGAGAGAGAGATACAGATGGATAGGGGAAGAGAGAGAGAGAGATACAGATGGATAGGGGAATAGAGAGAGAGAGAGATACAGATGGATAGGGGAAGAGAGAGAGAGAGAGATATATAGATGGATAGGGGAAGAGAGAGAGAGAGAGATACAGATGGATAGGGGAAGAGAGAGAGAGAGAGAGATATACAGATGGATAGGGGAAGAGAGAGAGAGAGAGATACAGATGGATAGGGGAAGAGAGAGAGAGATACAGATGGATAGGGGAAGAGAGAGAGAGATACAGATGGATAGGGGCAAAGAAAGGGAGAGAGATGGGAGAGAAGGAAGGGGTAGGTGAAGAGAGAGAGAGAGATACAGATGGATAGGGAAAGAGAGAGAGATACAGATGGATAGGGGGAAGAGAGAGAGAGAGAGAGAGAGAGAGAGAGAGAGATACAGATGGATAGGGGAAGAGAGAGAGAGAGAGAGATACAGATGGATAGGGGAAGAGAGAGAGAGAGATACAGATGGATAGGGAAGAGAGAGAGAGATACAGATGGATAGGGGAAGAGAGAGAGAGAGATACAGATGGATAGGGACAAAGAAAGGGAGAGAGATGGGAGAGAAGGAAGGGGTAAGTGAAGAGAGAGAGAGAGAGATACAGATGGATAGGGGAAGAGAGAGAGAGAGAGATACAGATGGATAGGGGAAGAGAGAGAGAGAGAGAGAGAGATACAGATGGATAGGGGAAGAGAGAGAGAGAGATACAGATGGATAGGGGAAGAGAGAGAGAGAGAGAGATACAGATGGATAGGGGAAGAGAGAGAGAGAGAGAGATACAGATGGATAGGGGAAGAGAGAGAGAGAGATACAGATGGATAGGGGAAGAGAGAGAGAGATACAGATTGATAGGGGAGAGAGAGAGAGAGAGAGAGAGAGAGAGAGAGAGAGATATATATATATATATACAGATTGATAGGGGAAGAGAGAGAGAGAGAGAGAGATACAGATGGATAGGGGAAGAGAGAGAGAGAGAGAGAGAGAGATACAGATGGATAGGGACAAAGAAAGGGAGAGAGATAGGAGAGAAGGAAGGGGTAGGGGAAGAGAAAGAAAGAGAGAACAAAAAAGAGATACAGATGGAAAGAGGCAGGGAGAAAGAGATGGGAGAGAAGGAAGCCTAGCTAGGGAGAGAAAGAGAGAGAGAGAGAGATAGATAATTATACAGATGGATAGGAACAGCTAGAGAAAGGAGAGAAATATAGGAAAGAAGGAAGTATGTATATAGGGGAAGAGAAAGAGATACAGATGGATAGGGACAGAGAAAGGGAGATCGAGATAAAGAAAGAGATACATATGGATAGAGACAGGGAAAGAGAGAGAGAAATTAATTTATATTTGTCTGATATGGACAGAGAAAGGGAGAGAGAGAGAGAGAGATGGGAAAGAAGGAAATAGGTAGGAGAAGAGAAAGAAAGAGAGAGATACAGATAGATAGGGACAGAGAATTAAGAGATACAGATGGATAGAGACAGGGAAACAGAGAGAAACTTAAACTTGGATGTGGATCGACAGAGAAAGGGAGAGAGAGAGAGAGATGGCCGAGGAAGAGAAGGAAGGAGGTAGGGTGAGAGAGAGAGAGAGAGAGAGAGAGAGAGAGAAAGAGAGAGGGGGGGGGGGGGAGATGAACTTGACTATGAAGAATGATAATGATATCCGTATAATATGCAGGGAAAAGTCGCAGGGGCAAAAAAATTGAAGCCCTTTACACCACTATATTAGATACCAGATTAAAAACCGTATAGATTGTCTATTTTTAAAAAAATAAAATGTATATATATTTCATATGATGCAGGTCTAGCATAGACCGTTCATATAGTACAGCGTTTACATACATTTTCGTAAGCTGATTGCCAAATATCTATTTACTGTATCACATCTACTTATAGCAGACAGTTTTTGGAGTCTACCGTTTCCAGACAGACGTGACAGAAAATACTATTTTTATATAGTCTATCCGTAATTGTAAACAATTAAACGAATAATATAATAATCATATATTAGTTTTTTTTGCATTTATATTGATAAGATAGGCAGACAGTAAATACAAATAAATGATGGATTTGTGTAGATTGTCTATCAGATGTATATTACAATTTACAAGTATATTATTGTATTAATTTATCTGAAATGTTATTTTCCAACGCGAATCAAATGTCTTGTTGCAGAGACTATCAACGTGTGAGTAAAAGGCCACATCTAGCCACACCCGTGCGCTCAAAACATATTGCGAGGAGATAATGCGTTGTAGCATGTAATGCATATTGAACGGAAATGCTACATACAAAGTACACGTACAAACGCGTGTGGGTTGTTGTCAGCTACACAAAGGGCGTTATTGCTTGCTTTTGCTGAAAGGTCAAATCAACCGTTTTAAGCCGTGGATTGCATCTTTGCCGTAAGTATAAGAATACAAATAGAATGATAATATCTTAGAGGTATGCTTACATTGATATTTGTGTGGATATGGTAAATATTTTGAGGCAATCTGTCTGAAAATCGGCGTGATAACAGAAACTTAGAGAAAGATTTTAATTCGTCCGACATATTGAAAATTGTGTATGGTACCGTGGCATAGGCTTGAAGCTGGGGCCTGCCCTTGGCTTGGAATTTCTTTGACCATTTGATAACACACGAGAATGACGAGTGACTTTTAGACAGTATATGTGTATGCAAAACCATGCCAGTGGCTGAATTAAGCTAAATCTCTCTGACAAGCTGCGAAAAGAAGAAAAAAAGTCAGCCTGTGTCATGATGTAGTCTAGACCTATGTGTGTGCATTTATGTGTGTGTGTGTGGGTGGGGGGGGGGGGGGGGGGGGGGGTAGGAGGGGACGGTCTCCAGAGGTTTTTTTTTTTTTTTTTTTTTTTTTTAGGGATGGGAAATGGTGCATTATTTTTTGCATTGTCTTCATGTTCTAAAAAAGGTTTCTCTTTCATTTTTTTAACAAACAAAAAGAAAATAAAATAAAAAATAATCTGATGAAACATTGAATTGGGAGAACTGAAAAAACATATAATCAGTAATTGATTGATTGATTCAAATTTATTCCATTTCATATCAATTGTGTTAGCACAACAGTTGAAATAGTTGACAGTAAGTTCAAAATTATGAAATGAAACAGGAACTTACTGGAAAGCATATAGCTTGTGCCTTGTTATTTGTAAGTTCCCAAGAATAAATATAATACATGTATATTATTTTCATAAATCATTTCAAAGTGTCAAACGTATCAAATCAACCTCAAAGAAAGTTTACATGGAATTCCGTATTTAAATGGTTAAGGAGTATAAAGGAAATAAAGGATATTACATATAAAAAATCCCACATTTTGGAGAGAGAACAAAATCTTGAAAATGTGGGATATTCTGCAATTTCCGTATACAAATTTATAAAAATAAAAAATAAAATAATGCCCAGTTTTTGTAAACTTAAGCATTACAAATACTTATTTTAGGCCTCTGGATAACCTTTCCTACATGCCTGACAGTGCCCAAACCCATGAGCTTACGAGGCCTCAGACAGCCCCTTGGACCCCCGGCCTTAATACGCTCCCCTAGCATTGCTCGCTTCTTTCTAATGGACTGTTGATTACAGTTGTCCCATATTGCAGTTTCGAAAACTTGGCAGGTCTGTAGCCACTAGGAAACCCTTACACCACCAAGAGAAAAATATGTTATGGTGATTGTGAGTAGACTCTAATCAACATCAACTATTGTGCAAAAGCTAATAGTTATATCTATACTAGCAGAGGGTTACATTTTCCTTATTCCATTGTGGATTTTTACTAATGTTTACTTGCTAGTGATTAAAATGTCCTTTATTTCTTTCACTCTCTGTCCAGACCGAAAGATGAATCCTCAGCATATTCATCAGAACATGGGCTACTTGCCCCTGCTAGCTGAGGAGGGCTTGAAGGTGGTCAACAGCTACACGGGCAGTGTCCACCTCCCACCCGACGACTACCACCAGCCCCAGACCTCTAGCCAACAGCACTACATGCCTCATTACCAGGTGGGTAGATCAGGGGGGTGTTTCACAAAGATCCTAAGTCAAACTTAGCTCTTAGTTGGACTTATTTTGGAGAGCCACTTGTAGCCTTGAAATAAATTATATTCAAAAGCGAAAATAGAAGTATTTTAGACTCTTTTTAAATTTCCACAGTAAGAACATTAAATCTCCTTGAAAATAGAATATATAAATGTTTTGAATCAACATTTTATGCCTTTTAAAATAACATTTACAAAATATTTTCATAGATGCTAACGGCTTTCCATAGCTGTTAAGTCCAACTTATAGATAACTTCAACTTAGGATCTTTGTGAAACACCCCCAGTGCTCAGACATTTGATGATCATACTTCCATTCCTTGAGGCTTAAAAGCATCAAAGAGTCACCCAGGGTTAGGACTTGTGTTGGAATAGGTTCAGGGGTAGTCTTGGGATGAGGTACAGGATTTAAGTTTAGAAATTGGATAGTGGAGGACTTGAACTGCAAACTATGTCCGCTGACTTATCTACTTCATAATTTGAGATGAAAAAGACAATTATAACTGAACAGGGAACATTGAGAAACATTTTGCTGACTTTTAATTTTCAATGGATATGAATTGTTAAAGACACAGGTGCAATAATTTCAGTATTAGCTTTTTTCTTATTTGTATGTTATGTATTGTATTGCTTTTGATCAATTATTGTTATTACTATTGTGAAGTTAATAGATTTTAAAAATGTAAATACTATATAGTGATTGATTTTAAATGCTACACATGAATACTGTTAAATGTTACCAATACTGTTTGAATGAATGATTGTAACAAATGAAATATAATGTTATGTAATGAAGCTCATGTATACATGTAAACATGCACAATTCAGCATTTTGGCTGCGAGGCATTGTTTTTTAATAAAACCATTATTGAATTGAACATTATTGAATGAACTTATTCCAGAATCATTTCCCTGATAATTATGCATACAAACATCAACTTACAAAAAAATTGGCTGCTCTCGTTCTCATATATACTGTACATGTATATGCCAATGCATTACTTGATATACTTTTCCATATTATATGCCAATGCATTACTTGATGTGCTGTACTCTGCTTCTTTCTATAAAGACAATTGTTGCATGAAATATATGCATTGATTAGAGATGTTGGAAATTTATCCATTTTTAATTTGTATGTTTTGTTTTCCTCTATGCTGAATTCCTCAGGTCCAGGGAGATGGATATCATCACCACCACCTCCATCACCATGAGCGGATGCAAGGAATGTACATAGGACCACCTGGGCTAGGAGGAGGAGGGGGAGGAGGGGGAGGCAGCAGCAGCAGTGGTGGGGATGAAATCAACCTCCATAGCTTTGATGATAACAGAGGAGGTCTGGTGACCTTTAACCAGCCACAGTACCTCCCAAAGAGCTCTGCCCCACTCCCAGCAGAGCCCAAACCGAAGGAAAGGTCCAAGAAAAGCAAAGGCGGGCCACCGAAGAAGAGAGCTCGAGATCCTGCCTCCTGGAAGAGGAATACGAACAAGAGGTTGCGTAATTCCGGACAGCCGTACATCAATTCTAATGGATGCATCATGCCAGCTAGGAAGATGAAGGAGCCGTGTAAGAACTGCAGGCAGCGATGCACTGAGAGATTCAACGAAGAGCAGAGGCAGGAGATCTTTGATGGTTATTGGGATACTAACAAGGACTGGACGTTCAGAAGAATGTACATCATCGAGCATGCTGTGCCCCAACCGATTCAGAGAAGGAGGTCCAAGAAAGAAATGGATCAGAAAGCTCGCAGGATCAGTTTTCATTACCATTTGACTTGTGATGGCATCATGGAAAAGGTCTGCAAGAGATTCTTTCTCAACACACTTGCGGTTGGAGAGAAGTTTGTCATCATATCACTGCATAAAAAGACGATGGATGGGAAAGTGATACCTGATAGACGAGGTCGGCATCCAGCTGCTAACCAAATCCCCTACCAACTGAAACAAGAGGCGAGGAGACATATTCAGGCGCATCTCTTGAACAGACCACAGGAGCAGGTTAGCCTTCCCAAGATGTACGATTCCTACGTTCAGGAGTGCGAGATGCATCAAGGACCATCGGTGAAGAAGCACTTCTATCGAAAGCTGATGAATGAGGAGCTGAGGATATCGCAGCAGAGGTTGGATGGACCAGGTGATCCGCGGAATGAAGAGCGCCCTTTGGACTACACCCCTGCACCTCAGGTCAGTGCTCTTGAGTGCCTCATCAAAGAGCTCTGGCAGAAGGAACAGGAGCGCATCCGCAATACAAAGCCAAAATGCAGCCTGAAAGACAAGTTAAGGGAGTACCATGCCTTGAGATTTGGGGGAAAGGAGTATGTGAACTTCAAAGGACAAGTCAGGCCATCAAGAAAGATGAAGGAACCCTGTGAGAACTGCCAGAAAACTTGCACAGAGCGTATCACAGAAGAGCAAAGACAAAATCTCTTTGACTACTTCTGGGATCCTAATAAAGACTGGACCGACAAGAAGAAGTATGTCCTTAGCTGCACTGAGTCAAGGCCTGTTGTCAACTCTAGGATAAGAATGAAGAGGTCTAGGGCAGCCACCAGGTTTAACAAACCTCAGAGATTCACATATTTCTTTGAGGTGGATGATAAGAAAGTGTCTGTATGCCGCAAGTATTTTGTTAACACCCTGGGCCTCAGTCACAACTTCATAGCCTCTTGCATTGCAAAGCAAGACGAAAATGGGGAGTTTGATCCAGCCAAGACAAAGAAGTGTGGGACCCTTGCCAAGTTACCCCCTGCTGCAGCCAAAGAGATCAGACAGCACATCATCTACAACTGCTGGGCTGATCCGAATAAGGGCAGAGAGTATCAAACACATTCTTCAACCAGAGGCTGGTCTTGGAACGTCTCCAAGATGTACAGTGCTTATCGCCAGTGCTGTTGGCTGCGAGGTACAAAGCCAGCAAGCACTTACATGTACAGGAGGGTATTTTGCGAGGAGATGAAAATCTTTGAGGAAAGTAAGATGTTGACAGCCAGCACTCCAAGTTCATCAACCAGGCAGGCTGGGAAGAAACAGGCAGACAGTAAGTCTGGAAAGGTGAGCACAAGCACAGCCGTTCTTCAAAACAAGCACCTGTTGAGGAATCCTTTGGGACCACTTCTTCTGCAGATACTTCAAGGAGTGAGAGGCAGGAGACTGAAGATGATGAGATGCACAATGAATCTGTGGTTAAGGATAAAGAGTATAGACCATCGAGTGAAGAAGATGATGAGGAGGAGGAGGATGCTGATGATTACACAACTCCAAAAAAGAAGGCTCTGATTGTTGCTGACCCTCAATGCTCCGTTCTTCTGGCACCCACAGAACAGATGCCAGTTTCTGACGATGATGATGAGGATGATGACGAAGAGGAAGATGATGAGGATGATGAACGGCTGGAAGATATTCCATCAACCTCTGGACATATTGGTCATCCCAAGCCAAGGCATCGCACCTGGGACACATCAGACATGCGATGTGCCGGTCAGACCTATGTCAACGACAAAGGCAACGTCATCCCAGCCCGCAAGATCAAGGAGCCTTGCACGAACTGTCGCAAACAATGCTTGGAACGTGTGCCTCAGGAATTACGGGAAAAGATCTTCAACATGTTCTGGAGCAAGGAAATGACATGGGAGAAGAAGCGTCAGTACATCGAGGACTGCATCGAAGAGAATGCCGTCAAGAAGCGTACGCTCCCAGCCTCTCAGTTGAAGCTGAATCGCAAGGTGCACATGAAGTACACCCTCAAGTTAGGCAACTGGCAAGAGAACGTGTGCAAACTTTTCTTCATGAATACGCTAGGAATCAGCCAGAAGTTTGCCATTGTATCTCTCAGAAAGCAGAAAGAACGACTTCTCCAAGATGTCGAGATACCATCGTTTGATCCCCCTGAGTCAATCCCCCTGCCTGACCCAGCTCCTCTTACTCCGGTGCCAGGTGTACCAACAACCCCTGCACCTTTGGAGAATGCAGATAACAGTCTTAGAGATGTTCTCTCTCATCTGCTCCTTATTCCTACATCCAATATGTCTTAAGCATAAAATCTTCTTCCAAACATGCTCCCAGAAAGACGTTTTATTATCCACGATTCCAGAAATTGAACATTATTGACAGACCTTTAAGTTGAAAACTTCCCTTTTTATCAAGATTTCAAGGTAGTCATGCTATTTTGGACCGATGGAAAATTCTCTTGGATGTGCTTTATGGAATTGTTATAATGAATAATCACATATATCGTCAGTCTCCTCGATGTTATTAGTCATTAGGTGATTAGAAGTTCATTCACGTGAATCGACTACTAACAAGGTATCTTATGTACAGTCTAACCAGTCTGCACTACAAGTTACCAAAATGAAACTTATGAGGCCAAGATTTAAAAAGAAATCGACTTTAAATTCGCCAGTGTGCTGTGATAGCAAAACAAGTTTCTGAATGTGTACAAATTAGAGCTCGAAGATGGTAAAATCTTGTTCACATCTGATGCAGAAAGCCGCATCATTTTTTTTTCTTGGTGTAAAAAAACAGCAACACCTTGGTGTGTGTTACAATGCAGAAATGTCAAGCAAAAAGCAGGTTTTTGTTTCTTCATAGTGACGTAAAGAGTAATTCATTTAATTTGTTTGTATCTTATAAGACAGAGCTCAGTAAATACACCCCAGTCCTTTGCCACGCATAGATGCAATTCGCTTACATATATTAAACAAATGCAGTAGCTTTTTTTTTTTGAAGCGGTTTACTGTGCCATATCTGAACAAGCCCAGATGGTGTACCATAGCGTACCGTATGTGAACAAAGCTTAAGACTATTACATCAGTCTATGGAGACTCAACTAATTACACGTTATGAAACGATGGATTGTTTAACTGTATATTGAGACATCAATTTTGATGTACTTGTACAGTAACTCCAGGTGTAGACCTACTATGATACTCGATACAGGAAAAACAACTTCAGGGAGTGGAACAGTTGTCGCATCACTTTATCTCTACTCTAGCATTCTACATTAAAAATGCTAGGTATTCAACAGAGTGGAAAACTGTTCATGTATTACATTGTAGAAGCAACGTATTATGATATAATCTTAATGTAAGAGACAGTTAGTGACATTTGTTGGGGAAAATTATGTTGTTGTTTGTTTTAGTTTTTTTTTTTTTTTTTTTTTTTTGGGGGGGGGGGAGGGTTTGGTGAAATTTTGTAGACAAATATTAAAAATTGACAAGTATTTTCCACCTCCTGAAGTTGTTTTTCCTGTATTGAATAGCAATAGGTAAATAGATGAACATATAATGTTTTTTTTTAATGAAAAATTTGGGTCTTATGGTTTTATCACCAGGTAATATTTTATCAGCAAAACAAAATGTGTTTTCATTTAATTCTACTTGCATATGGGCCCCACCACAGATGACGAATGTAAATAATCTTGAAATAATTGTATAGACATTTCTGAGACACATTTATCTGAATTTAATTTTTTTTTAATAAATCTTCATTTTTGTGGGCTCTGAAATAAAAAAGAATTTAAGGTCCTTTGTTTGGCATAAAAAGATGTAATGACAGTATTGTAAATAGGAAAATTGTTGTGTCAATTATGAATCATCTGTGATATTGCCAAATTTTATTTCTCTTGCCCTATATGTGTATAAATGAAAAGCTGCAACGATCTTAAACACTTTTTCTTCAATCATGTCCATCATTTTTTTAAAGATTAAACTTAATTATATCATAAGCTATATGCTTTGAGACATTTCGTACATCATTATGAAACATAAGTCTTCTCTCATTTTGTTTAAAACTGAGCTACGCAACCACCTACTGCAATATCACGTTGTATATCAGCATTTGTCTCGCGCTTGTATCATAGCTTCATCCAAACATTCTTCATTTTTGCATTGAGATATAAGCAATTGATAATTGTGAACATGATTTAAAGCTTATCTGCCGTAGTTTACAGGAGGGATTAGACCGCTCTGCAAGGTCACTGGACAGGTGGTTATCTCATCAACTCAGCTCTCAGTTAACATAAGAAAAAGAGGATCATGGGGGACCAATGGTCACCGATTAGGCATTGTTTGTTATATAGAGGGCGCAAGTAGCTACCAGTAGTGCAGTGGGCCTTTAAAGCGATACTGAACTGATAAACTTTCTTGTGGTGAACTTGCCATCAGTGCATAGCCCAATACCTACTTCCCACTACCTACTTCCCACTTCGGAAACGGAGGACTCAATGCGAGAACCAATAGCAGCTAGGGCAGCAGCAAGTTACAGGACTATACTGCTACAGCTGACCCGGTAGTGCTTCTAGTACAGTGTGGCTCTAACCACTGTATGTCACTATTAGCTAATGTGAAGTACAGGAGTTTTGTACTATGATCAGTGGCATGTCCAGGGGGTGTTTCACAAAGATCCTAAGTTGAACTTATCTCTAAGTTGAACTTAACCATTATGGAAAGCTATTAGTGTCTTTGAAAATATTTTGTAAAAGCTATTTTAAAAGGCATAAAATGTTGATTCAAAACATTCATATATTCTATTATCAAGGAGATCTCATGTTCTTGATGTGGATGTAACAAGAAGTCTAAAATACTTGAATTTTTGCTTTTGAATACATTTTATTTTAAGGCTACAAATGGCTCTCCATAACTTTTACGTCCAACTTAGAGTTAAGTTCGACTTAGAATCTTTGTGAAACACCCCCCGGATTGTGCTGAAATCGGGGTACCCTTCCTTCTCCATTTGAAGGCCCAGGTGAAAAATGAAGGCAACTTGGATTAGTTGAACACTTGAACATCATATGGGGCCAAGATACATGCACATGGAGTCATGGAAAGTATGTTATTTGATATGATTAGTGGGATAAACAGCATGGCTTGAAGTCAACCATTACCCGTATTCTGAGCCTTCCTTTTTTTTAATGAAATGGATTGTGTACCTCTTTATGGCTTCCCAAAGATATTAGACATTAGAGCCCCCACCCCATATTTGGGGAGGAATAGCCCTCTGTTATATCAACTTCTGGATACACCACTGGTGTTTTCAATGACATGCTCTATATGACTTTGTTGCAATGTTCAAAAGCATATCTATAAGTGGTAATATGAATGTGATTTCTTTCTTCATGTTTTGCACTTTTGTATAATAGCTTCCATTCAGTAACATTACTACATGTATTAGTATTTCAACTATTTATCACCTACCTGTACATTGTAGCCACACACTGTAAATTTCCATTCGATGATACTTATCATAAGGCTAGACCGACGAATAGTTGTCTTTTCTGGTGCATGTGATATTAACGCCAATCGCAGCTACTTTAGAAATATCAACTTTGGTCCATTTCAATATCCTGATTATATATCCCATAGATATCCTGTTCGGATCACGGAATACGTCTTTGTAATGTTCTCTCATTTCAAATGATGACATACAAGGCTGTTGAAATGGCCTGGAGTTGAATTTTACAAAAGTAGTTGCGGTTGTTTTTATTCCGAAACTTTTTTTTGTTTTTGTTTTTTTTGTTGTAGAGACAATCATATTGTGATAGGATTACAAGTGGAACCTGTACATAGTTTAGATGCATGAGGATATTCAGTTCCTTTTATCTTGCCAAATTTTAAATCATGGATCTCAGTAATCATGTTCTAAATGTTTAGTTTTTTGTTTCTACATATTTAGTCTGCTGTAACAGTCTTCTGTGCTGTTAAAGGATTAGATGAGTTTCTTAAGGACAATGTTTAAATTGTCTAGTGGAAAATCATGATAATAAAATATTCATAATGTTAACATAACAATGAGTTAATAATTGTAAAATTCTCGGTGTGCAAGTATGAGGTATGCCCAAGTACTGTGACACCAGGGGAGTCTATCCATTTTTAGGGTGAAGCCCCTCCCCCCCCCCCCCCCCCCCCCCCCCCCCCCCCCCTCTAAAAGAAAGTCCCCGAAAGTGAGGCATTCCCGTGTCGTGTCCCTGAGGAAAATTGTAATAGGGAGGTATGCACTATTCTAGGGCTAATGAATTATTTGGTGGGGCTTATTTTGCCTTCTAATGGATCTGTGCAACTTGGTAGAGGGTTTAGGGGCTTGGGCGTACCTCCCTACTTCAATATATTCAAAACGTCTTTGGGCGTGCCCCTCTCCATTTCTGAAAATAAATCAATCTGCCCCTGGATTGAGCATTTAATGGGGTGTATGTTGCCGAAGATATAATATAAAGAGTTTTTAATAATAAAAAAAGAGAGGTGATTGAGAGAAGAAGAGATAGAAAAAGAGAGACAGAAAGGAAAATGGACAGGGGTCATGTGAGTAAGAGAGAGAGATGAAAGCTTGCTTTAAAACAAAGAAAAAAATAGAATAACAGTCCAATTTTAAAGCAAGAGTGCTTCTACCAATACTTTCTTTTAA